ATGGAGGTTAGGACAGAAGGGACTTTGCTAGGGAGTAGGTATCCATAATTGTGAGCTACAGGGTTCTTACTCCTTCCTCAGAAGCAGCTGGTGCTGTTCTCTGTTGGAGACAGGAGACTGGACTGAATGGACCCGGGGTTTAAGTCAGTGTGACTGGTACAACAATACCTGCTGGAGATGGTGGTTGAGAGTAAGGAAGAATTCAGGGAAGGGACTTGAGTCATCTGGCTAGGACCGCAGGATTTTTATCCCAAGGGTGAATCACACTTGAATAACACTGGCTCCTTCATGTCCAAGTAATTCATCTCCATTACCTGACATTCTCATGGAGTTATTAGGGTTGCCAGGTGTCCTGTTTTGAACCGGACCGTCTGGTATTTGAGCTTTCTGTCCAGGAAACAAATTGAGAAAATACCGGACATATAAATGTCCGATATGTTCTAATTAAGTAAGTTTTATTTATTATCATGAGTATCAGTACGTAGTTGCGTACTGCGTGAGCATGTCTACCAGCCAGGCAGTACGCAGCTACGTAGTAGAGGAGGAGGAAGGGGCTGGGCACGGGACGGGCAGCAGGATCTGCCTGTGCCCGGGCCAGCCCCGCTCCCCTTGACCCCCTCCCAGCTAGCCCTGCTTCCCCCGATCTCCCCTGGCCATCCCCGCTCCTCCCGACCCCTTCCCAGCCTGCCCTTCGGGCCGGTCTCCCCCCCTCCCATTCTGAGATCACATATGTCTGGTATTTTTTTGAAAGCCTTCTGGTAACCTTGGGAGTTATTCCTGTTTGATCTGGGTTGAGGATGTAGTTTGGAAAAGGCTTGGGACCATAGTTCCCTGTAAGGTGTGCAGTAGACAGCTGCTTTGGGCCGGGGAGCTGGCTGAGGCCTCGTGGTGAAGGGGCCTGCTCCGGTGGGGGGCTGGGGCCTGCCGTGTGGCGGGGGATATGGGGCCTACTCTGAGGGCCAGGGCCTGTCACAGCTGTGTGGTGAGGGGGCCAGGGCCTGTTCAGGGGGCTGGGGCCTGCTGTGGCAGTGTGGGGAGAGGGGGAGGGAGGGCGTGGCTGGGGGAGCCGTGTGGTGGGAGCAGCCAGGAAGTCACCTCACGACTCTGGCTCCAGCCCTATCCCAATGTTAAAGGTGTTTGGTTTTAGAATCTTAATTTGGGCCTCTCTTAACTTTGCCTGTTTGTGATTTTGGTCTTCTGTTGACAGAATCTTACTAGATTTTTATATTGAAGTATGTGGGGTTTTGTTTGTGGAACAATATTGTGGAAAAAGTGGGAAAACCAAATATTAATTTACTATACAGATAAACTTGTAACATATAGGTTTCCATTTAGAAGAAAAAAGTAGTAATTAGGGCTCATAGAACATTCTAATGACACTAAGGGTATGTCTACACTACAAAGTTAGTTCGAACTAACGGACGTTAGTTCGAATTAACTTTCATAGGCGCTACACTAGCGCTCCGTTAGTTCGAATTTAATTCGAACTAACGGAGCGCTTAGTTCGAACTAGGTAATCCTCATTCCACGAGGATTAAGCCTAGTTCGAACTTACTAGTTCGAATTAAGGGCTGTGTAGACCCTTAATTCGAACTAGTGGGAGGCTAGCCCTCCCCAGGTTTCCCTGGTGGCCACTCTGGCCAACACCAGGGAAACTCTATGCCCCCCTCCCGGCCCCGGACCCCTTAAAGGGGCACGGGCTGGCTACGGTGCC